CCTATCAAAGGAGAGTGGAGGAATGCAGCGTGTGCCAGGGGTGGAGCTGCCCCTTCCACTTGCTGCAAGCAGCATGGCACTTTTACCTCCCGTCCCGTCTCTGTCTTGCTGCTCCCGTCTCACTGACTATTTTGCAGGCCCTCGCCATGAACACTGCCTGGAGAGGGGCAGGAGACTGCGCTCCTTGACTGCACGAAGAAGGGAGTTGAGGAGGAGAAGAGTGCGACCTCCCCCCGCTTTGCACCCTGGGGAAGTAGCTTGGCCTCGATTCAATGCTGAATCCCAGTAAGAGCTGCGATCCAGCAGGAGAGAGAGCACCTACCCTTGGCCTGGGGGAAATCATCAGTCTTGAGCCCCTGGAAGTCCTAACTTGTGCCTGCCATTGCTAATGGAGTTTTTCTATGGCGGCAGCTAGGACAGACAGGGCAGGCGAGAACACGGCTGGCTCAGGAAGAGGAATGAGGCCGCCTTGGAGACATGTCCCTGCTGCCCCCGTTATTGAAGTCCTATCAGGGAGGTTTGTACTGTGGCACAAACCATCCATCCTGGGCTGGGGCTGGCATGGGGCAGAGCCCCCGACGTGCATGGTCAGGCCGGCGGGCTGCGTCCCCAAGGGATGCCGGCACCTGCGAGGAGCTGGTGCTTAAGCCCAAGCTGCCTCTGCTCCTCTCCCAGCCCAGAGGAAAGCACTTTGTGCCCCAGAGCTCGTCTAGCATCTGCCAGACGAACAAATGATATTGCTCGTGGTGAGGGGCCGGACGCCAGTCCTGTGGGCTGCACTGAAAGTGGTGACCCCAGGCAGTCCCAGGACTGGCTGGAGCTGAGCAGAGGCTGCAGAGGGAGCAATGAAGCCCTCGTCTGGGGTGACCTAGCAGGAGTCAAGCACCATCGCTGCCCAAGGAAGCCGGTTGCTTGGCAAAGAGCTGGGCCGGGAGGGCTGGGGGGGTTTGATCGTGGGAGCAGGCCTGGGAGGGTGGCCGGAGAGGGGTAGGGTGCAGGGGAAAGCAAGGAGCTGTGCACATCATCAGCCTGGTGCTGGGCACACCTGCCGCGTGGCACCGCGCTCCCCTTGCAGCCCAGGGCTCTCCCAGTCGCCCCCCAGCTCCTCCAGCATGGGGCTGGGCTGGGGGCATGGCCCCGATCCCGTCTCCTCCCATGCCTGCTTATCGCCGTGGCAGCCCCTGGCGCTGGCTGCATGGAGAGCAGCACGCAGCCCCTCTGTATCCTCTTTGCCATAGCAACAGGGTTGCTAGGGATGAGCAGCCTTTAATAGGATGAAGAGCTGTTTTTGGGGGAGGCCGTCATTTAGGGGGTGGCTACGGGGAGAAGGGGCACCAGGGCATGCTAGCTGGCCCAGGGGAGCAGGGCTGGGGGTCACCCTGCAAGGGGCCCATATAGGGGTGGGTTTGCACGGCATACAGCTCAGCAGTGTCCTTGGCTCCGCGCTGCCCGGGGAGGCGTTGTCGGTGGGGGGACGCTCTGCTCCGGTGGCTCTGGCCTGCAGCTGACTTGGCCGGGGGGGGTCTCCCTCCTGAACTGCCCCATGGGTCTGGCCCGCATCCCCGGCTCCACTCTAATCATGCTGATAAGATGCTCCATCACTTATTCGTCGGCTGGGCCCGGCGCGCTGTGCTGTCAGTGCCGTGGTGGCCGCGCGTTGCTGGGCTCTCAGCCAGCTCTGGCGCTGGTCTCCACGTGCTCTGAGTGTCTACCTGCGCCCAGCTTGATTACCTCTGTGCCTCCGGGGCTCAGTAGTCATGGCAATAGTAGAGGCGCTGGCGTGGCGGTGGGTCTCCAGGGCGCACACGCGAGTGCCTGGGGGGGCAGCCACTGCATGGCTCGCGTACAGACTGCTGATGTCTGGCATCCACCCGGCAGGTCGAGGGAGGGCCGGGGGGGGGATGAAATCCTCTGGTCCTGCAGGCCCCATCGTGAAAGAAAGGCTTTCAATAGAAGGACGCTGAGTGCAGGCAGGCTTGGGTCTCTGGTGCCGGAGGTGTCCTGGGCTCTGTACGTGCCAGATGTGCATCGGTGACTGTCCCTGGGCTCTGCCGCTGACCTGCTGTAGGACCTTGGGCAAGTCACTTCTTGCTGGGCCTTCCCTGCGCTAATCCCCTTTGTTTAGCCTGTCAGAGTTTGGGGCAGGGCTGATCTCACTATAGAAGTGTGCAGCGCCTTGCACGCCCGGGCTCCTGTTTCCTTTGTGGCCGCATGGTGCTAGCTTCTGCTAACTAAGATGGATCTGCGGCCCTTGCTGCCACGTGGCGCGGCTCTGAGCGAGCTGACACATGGCGGGGGCTCAGCAAAGCCCCAGATGCCAAGCGAGCACGTGGGCGTTCGCTGTCATGAACCTGCCCTGCCACAGCTGGGCCGCTTTGGTAGCTGCTTTCAAAAGGGGGCTGCCGCGTCCCTGTGCTGTGTCCTTGGGCCTTGACCATGCAGTTGAGAGCTGGGCGCCACGCCTGGCTCGGACAATGCCAGCCTGGCCCTCGAGGCTCCAGTGGTGCCTCGAGGAGGCTCCCAGCCAAGCTAATGGCCTGGGCCAGGTGCTATTCCCCTGGCACGTGGTGTCCGGCTCGGTGGCAGCCATACAGGCTGGTTGCAGAGTGGGAAGCTGGAAAGTTTAAACTTACGGCTCCCTAGAGAAGGGCTGGAGGGTCATGCAGTGCTTGGGACACCCCAAACAGCCGGGCCTCTGCCCCCCAACACGCTGTGCATAGCCCAGCCTGAGAATCCAGCTGTTGGCACCCTTGCTACTGAACCTGCAATGTGGTAAATATGATGTCTTTTATTAAACCAATTGAATAGTTGGAAAAAGTTTTCTTTGCAAGCTTTCAGGCACAAAACCCCTTCTTCAGGCTGAGGGAGAGTCTTCTTTAGACCCTCTGGCATTGAAGCAGGGGCTGGAGCCCACGTCTTTGTTCTCAGGTGCTGGCGTCCAGCGAACAGCTTTGCCCGGCGAGCCTGGCACAGCTCTGCTCGGGGAGCCCTATGGCCTCGGGGTTTGGAAAACAGCTGCTCAGAGGGCTCCCTCCCTCCCTCCCTCCCAGGGGTACGTTGCATCCCTCTTGCTCTGATGCCAGTGAACCCCAGTCGGGGCAGCTGGGTACAGCGATGCCCGCATCCCGCTGTGTGCACCGCAGGCTCTGGGCCCAGCCAAGTGGATTCAGAAACGATCCCCAGGGCTGGTGTGTTGGGGGGGGGGG